CTTTGGCCTCTCCTCTAATAAACGAATATACCTAGGTTGAACCTGCTAGAAGTCGCCTCCTGCCTCCCAGAAAAGAAGGTTTACAACGTATTGTTGACAGATTGGCCGCTAGGATTGAACCCTCAGAAAGGTATTTTTTTATATATTAACACTTCTACATTAATTTCAAAATTTTGCCGTTTTTATAAAATAAACTTTCCAAAATTATATTCGAAGCTTTGGCGTGTAAGATTAAAAAATTTACCATCAACGGAAAAATTACTTTAAAAAAATCAAATGGTGGCGTTTTATAAGAAATTGGATAAAAATAATTGAATAATTTTGAATTAGGAATGATATCCTCTTGTTGGAACCAATGGTGGAAAATAGTTCGGCTGTATTTCAGACCCTCGCAACTATAGAAACCACAGGTTAATATTTTATATTTCATCCAAACAGGAATTGTTTTTACCCAAAAATTACCCTAATGCAGCTAATAAAACTCGTAAAAACAAATGTCCGATCTGCGCAAACATAACTTCTGGAGGAAAAAACGATTTTCAAACGGTTAATAAAATCAGGGACCTTCTTATCTTTAAGTTTTCTTTAATCGGGACCCTTTTCTTGAAAATTTAATTGATAGCTTGGTTTAGTCGATTACTTACCAAACAATAACAACACAATGCGAGACGGCCACGGGTATACTATTTTTAAAGTTAAGAACCCCCCCCCCCCAACCCCGTCAGCAAAAAGAGTAATATTTTTGGGCCGTGGATGCCGTGGGGTAAACCTTGTGAGAATAGGGTAAACATTAAACATTTTCCAAACCAAATAATATTGCAGGGATGGATGTCAAACAATTGAGCAGAGATAAATCAGAGACTGTTGTTGTTGCACCATCAGGGCTTCCTTTAACTAAAGGTATATACTAGTTGCACCATCAGGGCTTCCTTTAACTAAAGCTATATAGTTGCACTATCAGGGCTTCCTTTAACTAAAGGTATATAGTTGCACCATCAGGGCTTCCTTTAACAAAAGGTATATAGTTGCAACATCAGGGCTTCCTTTAACTAAAGGTATATAGTTGCAACATCAGGACTTCCTTTAACTAAAGGTATATAGTTGCACTAACAGGGCTTCCTTTAACAAAAGGTATATAGTTGCAACATCAGGGCTTCCTTCAACTAAAGGTATATAGTTGCACCATCAGGAATTCCTTTAACAAAAGGTATATAGTTGCAACATCAGGGCTTCCTTTAACAAAAGGTATATAGTTGCAACATCAGGGCTTCCTTTACCAAAAGGTATATAGTTGCGCCATCAGGGCTTCCTTTAACTAAAGGGTTACAGTTGCAACATCAGAGCTTTCTTTAACTAAAGGTATATAGTTGCACCAACAGGGCTTCCTTTAACTAAAGGTATATAGTTGCACCATCAGGGCTTTCTTTAAGTAAAGGTATATAGTTGCACCATCAGGGCTTCCTTTAACTAAAGGGTTATAGTTGCAACATCAGAGCTTCCTTTAACTAAAGGTATATAGTTGCACCAACAGGGCTTCCTTTAACTAAAGGTATATAGTTGCACCATCAGGGCTTCCTTTAACAAAAGGTATATAGTTGCAACATCAGGGCTTCCTTTAACTAAAGGTATATAGTTGCAACATCAGGGCTACTTTTAACTAAAGGTATATAATTGCACCATCATGGCTTCCTTTAACTTAAGGTATATAGTTGCATCATCAGGGCTACTTTTAACTAAAGGTATATAATTGCACCATCATGGCTTCCTTTAACTTAAGGTATATAGTTGCACCATCAGCGCTACTTTTAACTAAAGGTTGATATTTGCACCATTAGGGCTTCCTTTAACTTAAGGTATATAGTTGCACCATCATGGCTTCTTTTAACTAAGGGTATATTGTTGCACCATCATGGCTTCCTTTAACTAAAGGTATATAGTTGCACCATCAAGGCTTCCTTTAAAGGTATACCCAAGCACCACCAGGGCTTTCTTTTAAAAAAGGTATATAGTTGCACCATCAGGGCTTTCTTTAACTAAAGGTATATAGTTGCAACACGAAGGCTTCCTTTAACTAAAGGTATATATTTGCAATATCAGGGCTTTCTTTAGCTAAAGGTTTATAGTTGTACCGGGCTTCCTTTAAATAAAGGTATATAGCTGAACCATCAGGGCTTCCTTTAGCTAAAGGTATATAGTTGCACCATCAGGACTTCCTTTAACAAAAGGTTTATTGAAGCAACCTCAGGGCTACCTTTAACTAAAAGTACAATAATGCACCATCTGGGCTTCCTTTAATTAAAGATATATTTAAGAACCATTTTAACAAAAAAAAACTAAAATGAAAACAAAAAAAACTAAAATGAAAACAAAAAAAACTAAAATGAAAACAAAAAAAACAAAAATGAAAACAAAAAAACTAAAATGAAAACAAAAAAACTAAAATGAAAACAAATATATTGTTGTTTAGGCTCTTTACCAAATGTTGAGAGACCCTGCAGCCCCTGTAGTTCGGATAATAGTAAAGAAAATAACGAGGTATGATTCACAACAGTACCATTTAGATTTGGAAGACACGGTCGTTTTTCCATCTTGGACAGTGTTAATTTCTGACAATTTCCTTCATGTCTCTGCTGCATAAATCCCATGTTATAGAGAATTTAACATTAAAAATAATCTCTGCTGGGATAATTCTTATTTAGGGATCACGCCTTTATTCTCAAAATTAAAAGTGTCCGCATTAGATATGAAAAATAAACGTCCAAGAATAATGATATTCACACAAAGGGTCCGAGTTGTTAATTAAATTTTGTTTTCTAAATTAGCTTCTGTATTCAGGTAGAAAAGGTTTGGAGGTACCCTTGCCCCATCTGCAAGGGGAAACGAGGAATGCTAATTTTTTCAAAATTTTATATTATTTATTTTTTATTTTTTACGCTTCTGACTTCATAACTTCTGCTCAAAATTATAAATAAAAAACCTCCGGAAATGACATTATTTTGAGAAACTCTGAAAGTAGTAGTTTCCAAAACATGTATGGAATGTTTTTGCTTAACAAATCTAAAATTGAGAATAAGAAGATTTTATGTTTTGGACAAATGTTTGAAAAAAATTAATGTTAATCAGTCTACTATTCAAAAATCTTCACAGTGTACAAGCATATAGAAAGACATCACAACAAAAGCTTGGACGAAGCTAAGCTCATGAGAAAAAAGATCAAGGTGAAAATTCACAAAAATAATAACTTATCAAACTTATTATAACTTATAAAAAAAAACTTTTTACAAATATACCCTATATTAGTTCCAAACCGGCGTTATGGCTCATTTTCTAACTTGTAAGAATGAGTGTGATAATCCTTCGACATTGACGTGAATTTTAGTCTCAAAATATATGTTCGCAGCATACGCTGAAATGCGGTAATTGTTTCAAATAGAGATATTATCGCAAATGAAATCATCACGCATCAACAAAAATTGATTAGCACACCTTATTATTTGGTTAGGTTGACAGTTTTGTTTTGATCAGGGATTGGTTTAACCTTTTTTTGGACTTTGGGGGGCTTAGACTTTGTTTGGAGTTGAATTCTCATAAAGTTCATAGTTTTCTTTCTCTCAGTGGTAGTTCACGAAACCCTGTGGTAGCTTCTTTTTATCTTATACAATATACAGTATACACTTCTGAGAAAGAAAGAAAAAACATAGATAAAGACCTTACGTGTTCTGCAGTACAAGTGTATTTTTTGGAATACTTATGATATGATTTATTCGCTTACATCTTAAAAAAATAATATTCTAAGGTGAATGGACTATATCTGGCAAATGTGCTGAGCCGGATACCAAGGTTTGGCGGAGTGGCGGAGAAATGAAGGAATCCAAAAAATCCGGCGAAAATGAGCAGAAGAGAAAACCTGAAACAACGGATAGTCTGCGGTTGGTAGCTAAACGTCATAGACCCAACATATCTCTAGAGTTCGCCAAAACCCTTGGCCTCGTCAACGAGAACGGGGTCGGCCTCCAGAAGTTCCACAAGGACGAGGAGGAGGAGGAGGTCGTTTCTAAGGAGCCAAAAAGGTCTCGGAAGGAGCGGAGGCTGGCGAGGACGGGAGGAGATCCCTGGGGAACGGAGGATGAAGATGAGGAGGTTTCATTTAACCTCGACAGACTATCCCCACAACAGGTAGATTAAAAACAAAAAATAAAATAAAAATAGTTATGACCGGATTAGATGGTTGAAAACCACCAAATATTGCCTATAGTACTATGGTTTATATCAGTACAATGAAGAAGACTTTTCTATCTAAGTTTTGATAAGTAAAAAAGTGAAGCTTTTAATGAACAGCTGTTCTTTGGTTCGACCTTAATGTGTATTTATGCTGTTTAAAAGCTTGGTATAATCAAAAATCTAAATCTTAAGTCGTCTTCATTGTGTTGATATATATACGACGACGACTGTAGGAAAATGTGCTCAAATTAAATATTTGGCTTAAAATGACGATTAGTCTTCCATGTTACAATTTTAGAAGAAAAAATATCTTATTTTTTTTGATTATTTTTTTGATTTTGTTTAAGAATTTGTATAATAATAAATAAGAAATCTACTTAGTTTTTTTGAATAGTTTTTAAAAAACTTTAAATAAGACTTTTAAGATTTGAAACCTGTCCGTAACTTAAGGTTTATTTATTATTTCCAATATTTTTTTTTAATCTAAAACCATCTGAAATATCGCATTCGTTTTTTGGTGCTTTTTTGTCTTTTTTGTTCAGGGTCAAAATTTGGCAAAATGTAAGAAAAATAAATGTTAAGAAAAAACAATTTTAAAAACAATTGCTTTTTTTACACTATAACATATGTGGACCCTGATAGAAAATAAAGACAAAAAACGACAAAAACAAACAGAAAATACGGAAATAAATTTCACCATCTGCAGGGTCCTGAACGGAAGAAGATAAGACTGATTGATGGAGGACCTGGAGGAGCTGGAACCACCTGTGTACTCTGTCATAGAACCTTCAAGACTCCGACCTTTCTCTCTCAACACTATGCATCCTCACATTTCAGATCAAAGCTAATGTCTCAAACAAAACATCTAGGTTAGTCAGGATCAAATATCTCAAACAAATCATATTGGAGCCATTCATAGGTTAGTTAAATTCAAATATCTCAAACAAAACATCTAGGTTAGTCAGGATCAAATATCTCAAACAAATCATATCGGCGCCATTCATAGGTTAGTTAAATTCATATATCTCAAACAAATCATTTCGGAGCCATTAATAGGAAGTAGTTAGGATCATAACGTCTGAAACAAATTATGGTTATTATGGTTATTATGGTTGCTCACTAATATAATGAATACACATCATTAAGTAAATATACCAAATATGTTTATTTATGATGGGGGGAAGGGGGGGGGGTTGTGAACTCCACTTTCTATAGAATTATGTATCTGTCGAGAATGCTTCTTGCATATATTTAACAACTTTATATACCCCATAGTTTCCATAAACAAAATGGCTTCCAAGTGTTAATGTTCCGTTATTTTCCTATTGAACCCCTTTATGTTTATCAAAATATCAATATTTTTCTAGAATGTTCCAGCGCTACCTACCGACGATCGACAGTTCTGTTCCCACCACCACCGCCGCTGATTCTACAAACAGATCCCCACAATCAACCTCAACCCTCTGAAAACAAAACATTCTCAGAAGAATAAAAAGAATTAAAAAGTTGACAACTCCAACACTCAATAATCATTTATTATTCCTATGTTGATGAAAAAGAAAATTTGAGCAGTTCAGAATGAAACTCATTTATTAGATATTGCAAACAATCATGAATAATTCGATTACGAAAGTTAAAAAAATATTCATGACAAATTTATCGACATTTTTAACCAATAAAAACGTCAATGATTGGGTTTAATTTAAAGACGGTCGGGTAAAGAAGATCAATGAATTTAAGGATATTTAATTCCCTGGAATTTATAAAAAAAAATGTTTTTATAAATTGAGAAACAAAATCCTTGCAATGGGTCACTATGCAAAATCTATACATTTTATGGAATCTAAAAAAAAATTGCGAAAACTGGAGGATACCCTCAGAAAGAAAATCGAGGTCAAAAAATATAAAAACAATTTTTGAGCAAATGAAATTTGTAATACTAGCCGAAGCGCCCATCTTCTAAATTAATTGTGAACATGTTTTCTTTGTGTACATCGTAAAACAAAACAAAAATAATTCGCGGATTTACACAAAAAATTTCGTGGATTTTCAAAATTTCAAAAATTTAATGATGATCGAATTTTGATGGATACAGATATTTGAAATTTTGATCATTCCCAAACCTTCCCTGTGGTCACGTGATGTCCCACAAAAAATTTGGGCCCGATTGGTTCAGCCGTTTTGACGTTTATTGGATACAAACAGACAGACAAACAGACAGACAGACAAGCCAAATTTATATATTGTAATATTATGTCAGCTGTGTGCAAAATTTAAAGATAATCCATGACATTGACTTCCACGGGGTGGCTGGCTGACTAGATAAAGAATGGACCCAATATAAATCCCGGACGTCATTTTCTTCACTCAGTACATTTTAACAACATAAACACCCAGGCTCTAAACATTACACCTGAATATTTGATAAAGTATAAAACTATATATTTTTATATAACCAATCTTCCTGCGTGCAAAAAATCGCTGTGAATAAAAATTAAAAATCTCTTAAATATGCAAATTTGCCTTTGTAACATATTATTGCCAAAAATTATCTGATTATTGGTCTGTATTGCCAAACCTTCTATTTCCTTTATGTTAATATTCTGTAAATTACTATGATGATTTTAATGTGAAATGTCATAAAAGCTTTAAGTATTGTGTACGCTAGTTGCAGTATTCTATAGTCTAGAGGGGGAAACATTTAAGTGGAACATTTTAGCTCATTTTCATGGATTTAAAATGATCTCTCATTGATCAAGTCGCCAAAGTTTTGTCGATAAGAGATCGATAAATTTGTACCGATCTGCGTGGCTTGACCAATGACAGAATATTGAGAGGAAAATAAGTTCACATTTAAAAGTTCTAAACTCAAGTGACTTTATTATAAACATGTAGATTATATTGTCTTCTTCTGAATAATGCTCATTACACAAATTACATGTAAAAATTATATTAAACTATATTTTCTTTAGTTACAATTAATGTTATAACACTTTTTTGTGAAAGACGAACCTTTAATTTGTGTACTACACATAACAAAACAACAAGTGTACAAGATTGTTGATTTTATGTACATTTGTTACCACCACTAATAAGATAGTTCTAGTTTAACATCTAAAAATGGTGTTAAACCTCGGCCCTGTACTCACTGTATTTCCGAACACATGTTATACTTTTTAACAAATCAACCAATTTTTAGTCCACGAAGAAAAATACTCAATTTAAACTCTTATGTTTGTAAATGTCGAATTTGTAAACTTATGCATTATTATTATTATCAACGGTGAACCTACAAAGTATCATGACCTGAAGGTTTACAATGAAAGATTGGATTGCCCCGATCTATATGGATATACATATATATATATAAAAATAAATTAGATTAATAAAGAAGCTTTTGATTTATTATAATGTTTTATTTGTTCAGGGTAGTTTTTTTGCGATTTCTTAGTATATAAAAATAAATTATTTTTTGACATTTGATTTTTTAAATGAAAACAAATCTTGATTCAAATGCGTGATTTTTTTTTTACTAACTAAGAGCTCGTTGAGCATGCGATGCATCCCCCCGTGTGAAACTTCTAAAGGGATGCAGAATGTAGTTTATACTGTGTCAAAATCGGTCAACTTCTGGTACCAACAAGAGTGGTCGCTAATGTGGTGCCTAAGGTCAGATTTATTAAAAAAACGGCCGTATTCTTATTCCATAGTTTTCTGGTTCTCAATTAAAACTAATTTTGCTTAAGCGAACCTTTAATTATAACCAAAATAAAATTTCATTTTAAGTTTAATCCAATCTACAAATGAAAAGTGCATAATGTTACAATGTGAATATTAGTATAGCTTAACCAAAATAATCTTTAAAAAAAATTTCAGGTGACCTTTAGTTCTAAAATCCGAAAATATGAGATAAAATCTGTTTATTTTCTATTCTTGAATTTGCTGTATAAATTTGTAAATCACAATTTAAATTAATCGATTTTCAGATGAAAAAGCTCTTAAGCAGCAATTCCGTTGCACGCAATTTCGCAAATATTTTATTTCTTCCCTGTTCGCAATTGAAGCGCAATAGAATGGTGAAAGCAATCACTGCGCCCAATTCCGAACAACGGAATTCCGATGGGAAACCCAATATCTGAGTGAGGGGAGGAAGACCAGCCACAACAATTTCTAGTCCGAGCCACATACTCCTAATTTTCTCGTACGATCCACCTCTAAATCCTGGTACTTAATAGTATTTTTTAAAAGTGTCTATGTCCTCCAAGATAAAACTATTTTAAAGAATCGGGCCACGTTAGGGCATAAATGAAATATTGAATTTTAGTAAATCGAAAAAAATTGTTTCAATTGAATTAGAGTTTTTGATTTCTATGTCCTTAAAATGTTTTTTACGCGCATTTTCTGATATTCCTGGTGTAGAATGCCGCAAATAATTCCGAGATAATAGAACTATAATCTTTTTTGTTAATTTTAGTGAAAACCATAGATTTGTTCTGGTTTGTTCCATGGGGAAAATGATAGGGAGAGATATGCTGAATATTTTGCCATTTATTTTATATCACAAAGGTTGGCGATTACGATGGCAGAAGAGTTTTAAGTTTTTACCTAAATAAAGTTTGACATTCTCATGTCTCTAAAAGATTCGAACATGATTTAATTATTGCAATACTTTAGTCTATCCATATGTTATGCCCTAACATGGTCAGATTTGTTAAAAATAGTTTGTATCTTCAAGAATTATAAACTTTTAAAACGTATTAATCGATGGACGCGGATTTCGAGGTGGTTCGGACGAGAAAATGAGGAGAATGTGGCTCGGACGAGAAGTTAGTATGGCAGTACTAGAAGGAATTGAACCACACTATAAACGGAGACCGGACGGTCACTTATATCTACATTAGCCTAATGTATAAAATCTGTCAACTTTTGGTAGAAACAAGAGTGGTCGCTTTATTTGTCAAAGGCTAGGTTTTATTAAGCAAAATATTAAAAAATATTTTGTTTGATGACCGTAATGTCCCTGCTTGAGGCCTAATTTTGAAAAACGGGCGATTTTAAGATTTTTAAAATCCCATGCAAGGATCTTCTTTGTAAATTAATATTCAATTTTCTTCTTTCTATTTAATCTACATGATGAAAGCTAACAAATATAAAACCATACCCTAATCTACGTAAAAGAAAACATACATAGATAACAACAAAACAGATAGAACACAATATGTCGTCTTTTCATGATTGAGGGCCAGGGGGTTTTCGTTCACAATAACCGTGAAGCAGAAGCCCATAGGAGTTACGTGCGTTGAATTACTAGACAGAGAGAAAGCATGCGCGTACTCCTGTGGGCTCCTGTCTCATAGACATTGTGAACGAAAAAAAACCCTAAATATTCAAAAGACGGCATCTAGTGTTCAATCTGTATTGTTATTAATCCATGCATATATATACCTTGACAGTAAAACATATCATACATCTCTTTACCTAAACATACATACCTAGAAAGTTGGACATATCTTACATATATACCAAGACATTAAAACCAGAACAGTTAAATATATCTAGCATCCATACTCAGGCATAAATTCTTATAGACAGTTGGACATATCTCAACCATACTCACATATATATATATATATATACCTTGACAGTTAGACATATCTGGCATCCATACTCGGGCATAAATTCTTGACAGTTGGACATATCTCAACCATACTCACATATATATATATATATACCTCGACAGTTAGACATATCTGGCATCCATACTCAGGCATAAATTCTTGATTGGCCCATAGATGAAAAATATTTATTGAACTCATTAGTAATAATAACTTGATCTGAGATAACTAAGTTTTCCTTCTTAATGGAATCAATTTTCATTGAACTCTGATTAGGCTTGTTTCCCATCCCTGTAATGTTTTTTAATTTTTCGCACATCTTCCCAGGATTTCGTTTTTGGCCACGTATTAATTTACTTAAAGAGACCTCTTTGCTTGTCTTATTTTTCTATTACAAATGTTTCTGCATACACATAAAGTTGAAATTATCTTCAGGCTTTTTTTGTTTGCTGAAAATAGTATATAATAGTAGTTTTTGCGCTCTCAATGAAAGTATATATAGTTTCTTTGTCATGAATTGGGTGCCTTTCTTGCATTTCTATTTTTATGTTTTTCAAAATTTATGAAAAATGTTGGATCAAATTCTATTGCCGCCATCTCTGCAATTTGAGATAAAAATACATTATTCCATTTTTCTTTTTCAAGCGCAGTTTTGAAAGATTTTATACTATTATCATTCATGTTCCTTTTGAGCTTTTGAAATAAAATTTCGTTGTGTTTCAAATTAAGAATAATTGGTAGAAATATTGTATTATGGTCTGAAATCGATTGTATATTTTGGAAAATGTTTGTATCTTTTGGGTTACACGGGCACTGGGCAGCCGTAGTACATTTGAATTTCCGATTCTGGTCAACCTTTCCGGTCCCAGTTTGTACTATCGCCCGGACATTGGGTATTTAAAGCAGACACTCGATAGGACTAGCCGGTGCAACAAGGTTGACGCGGTGAGACTTAAGGTTTAATTTACTTTTACTAAAGGGTCAGAGGTGCGTGGTTAACATTAGTAGCGTGCCCCATTTCACAGTCCGACTTTCCACGAATAACTATCAGGCTAATATTGTTCTCTATGATGTCAGTTATCACAAGAATTTTTTTTCTAGACCTTCAATTGAAAGCATATAAGAAATATTGTTCTCTATGATGTCAGTTATCACAAGAATTTTTTTTCTAGACCTTTGGGAAGTGGTCGTGCAAGGCCCGCGCAGATCTCAAAAAAGTTTACATAGCTCAAAAAAATACTTCTTGAATTTATCATGTCATATATCATTTTCTTCGTAATTATCTAAAAAGATTTAATCCGTTGAAATTTGACAGATTTCAAAAATTGACTGCGTTAGACCTAAAAACACGTCAAAAATGCTAGTTTTTAAAGAAAAGTACCTTTTTGGAGGTTTTTTCAATTTCAATTTCAATGTTCAAGATAAAAACGACACTTTCCACACACCGCTACTCAGATAAAGGTTTAATGGGCACGATCTGAATTGTATAACATGCTACTTCTTTTTCTTTTAGGGAGAGACGCTCCATTTTTATAGCAATCCCTTTTTTTCTTTTTCTTCACATTTTCTAAATATTGTGTGTGTGCTTTTTCGCTGTAGAAATCTTGATCCCATGAATGATTCTTTTTTTACATTCTTCTTCATTAAATATCATATGCATTTCTTTTTAATTTCTTTGCTTAAATTCTTAGATAAGTAAGGATAAATAAATGTATTTTTGGAATAAATTCTTTTTTTTTCTTTTAAACGAATTCACCAGTAAAACTATTAGACTAAACTAAAGAACTCTCAAATAGTTCTTTAAAGTTCTATTGTTCTTTTATGTATAAAGAAGTTTGCAAAGAAAGTTTAATAAAATAGAAAAAAGTGCTCAAGTGGAAAATCAACTTTGACAAAAAACTTTCATCCGTTATCTCTACATTTTGCAAACATACAAATACAACAAAACCTGGATGACTTTCTAAATTCTTCAAAATTTCGGACGAATAAAATGACAATACATCTTTCTAGCTGTCGTCGTTTCAAAAAAATATTTCGGGACAGTAAGTTTAATAAAAATACAGATTTCTTCTTGTTGATTTTTTGCACAAAATACACTTTTTGAAGATAAAAAAAAATATTTAAAAAATAATAAGTATTTTAATCTAATCAGGTGTTCTATAATCTTCTCTGTCTATGAAATCACCTATGTATAAATATTCTTCTCTGTCTATGAAATCACCTATGTATAAATATTCTTCTCTGTCTATAAAATCTATAAAAATCATCTCTAACTATGAAATGTCCTCTATTCGAAAATCTTCTCTGGTTATAGAATCTATAAAAAACTTCTCTGCCTATGAAATGT